TCATGTTCAAGTTGAAGAATGAAGCCACACTAATCTGGAGTAGAAATCTGGGATGGCAAGCTAGCAGTGGAAGCTTTGATATTCATAGAAGGTGGCAGCTTCTATGTTGCTGGTTCCCATTTACATCTGGCCACCCCCTGTGGGACTCAACAGGCATTTGGTTTGGTCCAGAAGACTTTCTCTTACATGCCTTTTAAGCTCCTGGTGAATAGAACACATTCAACCCTCACGGGTCGAAACAATTATATTTCTGCTTAGAAAGAAATCAAAAGGACCTGATCCTTCCTCACTCATAATTTTCTTTGTTTATTGTAGGCAAAAATCAAGCCATTTTAAAGGATGCATGTCTAGGCAGCATCAAGCCATTTCTCTGCTTGAGGGGAAGAATCCAGCTGCTTCCTAGCTGCAGCTAGGGAGGGGATGCCTCACAGAGGACATGCCAAAAAAGACCTTTACATCTCCGGCAGATGGATAACAGTAATCATGTTTTTAGCATGACCAGTCCACCAGGTCATTAAGGACCTGGCACATTAGTGAGGGAGTAACATGACAAATTGTCATAAATCTCTCATTCTTGGAGGTTTTTCCAGTTTCTTCAGACAGAGCAGTTGTAGGGGGACCTTCTCTAGCTAGGTGGGTTTTCACAACATCTCTGCAGAAGGCTTTTGCTCATTTCCCTTTCTTGTTTCCCACAATTCAAGTCCTGTAGATAGACCTTTTCAATTTCTATGGACTTTCAAAACTACTCCCATAGATTTTCTGAAGATCAGTGATTTTTTTCTCCTGGATGATCAAGCTGAAGGGATATTTTCCAGAGACAAGAACATCTGATCCCCCTTTCTTAGATATAATGAAAAAGTGTAACATTCATACCCCTAATCCAGAACAGCCACAACCAGCCATGACCACAATTTACAAACAATGAGCATTTATTTTGGTAGCCATTTAATGTCTTTATCTCTCTTTTTCTCCCCACTGATTGTGGCAATCTGCCATTGAAGAGTACACTTTGACCTTTTTTTCTAATTTAAAGTACATTTTCAGATAAATGGAGAGCCCACATCTGCTTCTGATCTTCAACTAATCATAGTACAATGGCAAGTACATGAAGAGGAGGCAGAATTCTGTCGGTAAAATGAGTACCCAGCTTGCTGGGGGGGCAATGTGTAGCCTGTATAATTAAATTGTAAACCGCCCGGAGAGTGCTTGTAGCGCTATGGGGCGGTATATAAGTCCAATAAATAAATAAATAAATAAAAAGGCAGAAAACAGGAGCTAACCCAAGTAAACGTTGTATGCCAGACTGCCTCTGTAGGGGGATTCTGGGAGAATGTTCCAAGATCTGAAATTTTTTTTACCTAAGTTCCTATTGATTCTTGTGAATATACCCTTTCATTTTCCACAGTTACCATTCACTTGGATATTGTTGTTGTTTAGTCGTTAAGTTGTGTCCGACTCTTCGTGACCGCATGGACCAGAGCATGCCAAGTCCTCCTGTCTTCCACTGCCTCCCAGAGTTGGGTCAAATTCATGTTGGTCGCTTCGATGACCCTGTCCAACCATCTCCTCTTCTGTCGTCCCATTCTCCTGTTGCCTTCACATTTTCCCAACATCAGGGGCTTTTCCAGGGAGTCTTCTCTTCTCATGAGATGGCCAAAGTATTGGAGCCTCAGCTTCAGGATCTGTCCTTTCAGTGAGCACTCCAGGTTGATTTCCTTCAGAATTGATACATCGCTACGGGAAAAACCATAGCTTGGACTATGCAGACCTTTGTCGGCAAGGTGATGTCTCTGCTTTTTAATTCTTACTTGGATATATGCCTGTCTAAATTGACCCAACAGAGGGGTATCATATCATGTACAATTTGGAAAAAGGGGATAAAGAAGAATTACTCCTTCCTTCCACCTACAATTTGAGTTTGTCTGCACTATTCATTCTGACGCTCAACCGGCATTTTGAATCATCTGCTCTCTGTCTTGACCAGATATTTAGGAAATGATCAGAACTCTACGGTTCAATTCACACATGGCATGCATACAGTTTTCAGTTAAAGTAGAAATGG